GTCAAAGTATCCGATAGCTTATTTATCGGCATGGTATCATATGCCTTCTTGAGGTCTATAAATATTTTACAACGAAAATTAAAAATTTGAACTTACGTTAAAATTAAGAAGTATAGAATTAAAACAAGTCAATACAATTAGAAGAAACTTTTGAGTGATTATTGGACGGCATATAATAAATGGCTACCGCTGGTAGTGTGGTAGTGTTGAATTTACTAATTATTGTGGTCGTACTTTATTATTGTTAATATTATTGTTATTGTATAGCAATTATTATCAGAAAATACAAATATAGTGTTATAAGACAAGTCTAATATACCCCACGAAGCCAATAAATACAGTTGCCATTCTACAAGAGTAACCTCGCAATTGGAAATATGCGTACGTACTGAATACTTCACCAGGATACTATTAGCTAAACTATAAACCACGTGGACGACTGAATACTATACCAAAATCTAAGCCTCAAGGCATTTTTTTAAAAACCTTGGTAGAACCAAAAGAAAAAATTTAAAAAAATTCTGGAAAAAGGAAAGAAAATACGTTAATAATTCTGGATTTTTTCGCTAGTAAATAAATTAGATTAGTAATTTCAACTTAGTAGGCATAGAGAGTAAATATAAATTAAATTAATAAATTTGAAATTAGTTGTTTTTCAAATTTATTATAGAATGGGTTTCGTCTCTAGTTATTTCAGTTTTAATAAATGTTTTTAATCCGATTTGAAATAACGAAAGTGTTCTACTATTAATTAACCAATCTTATTAGTTTTTGTGAAACTGTTGCACCGAGATAAAGAAAACATCTCTGTCCTATTGTTTTAGATACCTTAGGTTTGACAGTAGCTTAGTTCATTCTGTTTCTGGTTGAGTAAAGATGTTCATAATTTCTAATAGGAATTTTATTTAAAAAGATTCCTACTGCTATTTTTTGAAAATAGAATTGTCTTGCATCGAGCATACTTAATTCGTTAAAAATTTGTGTGTGTTTAAAAAAGAAAGCGTGTTGGTTAGGTAAAAATATGATGAAAACATTAAAGGGTGCCAGCATGTGATTTGTTTTTTTGAATTTATACTGTTTACATTCTACATTCAATGTTCTGTATAAGTTTCTTTGAAAGTAATTTGAATTTATGTATGAGTTACACCTTATAGTGTCAAATATCAATAATAGATAGAATATCACAAACGATTTGATTCATTGATGTGAATGAAGGTCTTTTATTGTTTTCTGAATCCACGTTCTCATAACGAAGTTGTTATCATCTGTTACACTTTGTTTGTTACGTTAGCTGCTGAACGACGATGCTTTTTTAAGGAAACTCATTTCCAAGAAATTATATTAGTCGTGGTTGTAGCGTCAACATTTAATTTACCATCTTGTTGGGACAATCGCGAAGGGGTGCGCCATGATTGGACGCCAACGTTGCACAATTTCGAAATTGGCTTTTTAATTATTTGAAATAAATAAAAATTAAAGTCGGTGCACATTCGTGTTCGGACACAATGAGAACGAATCGGTCGTGGGCCGGGCTGATTAATGTACGGCGAAGAGAAGAGGGAACGCCTTCGATTATTTCGAATGCAACAAGCGATCTCCAAAATTGGACGCGTGGGCACAAGAAAAAAACATTATTTGACAGGTTGTCTCATAAATTAACAGGTGAAATTTACTACGCATGGAAGGTGCGCACGTTCGTCTCTACTATTTTTTTTGCGTTAAAAATGACGTTCATGTGGGAAAATCAACACCAAATCCAGGAGTCGGGAGAGAAATAATACACACAAAACAACTTTGGTAAGAGAGAACCGTTAAAGAAGCGGTCTTCAATTTGAATGAGCCAAAAATATTTTGAGGTGAAATAAATCACCGAATTTGATATTACGGTCTCGATAACAACATACTTACCAAAACGTTTTTGCAATTTTCTGACTTATAACGTTTTGTACACATGCATAAGTGTAAACTACACCAATTCGGAAGATTTTGGGTTAAGGTGTTCAGTTTGGTCCAGTCAATCTGATGATGCGCTTTATTTAGTGGTACGCTTGGGTTGGCGAAAATGTTGTTACTAGAGACAGGATGTGCGGATAGCGAAAGAACGAGAAGAGATCAGACGAATACTGACCAGAAAAACTGAAGACGGTGGAAGTTTTGAGTCCTCTTGGTTTCATCTTCTTTCTAAATGCTTTTTCGTATTTCCTTAGCAATTTTTTAGGTAGGGACATCCATGCATGGTGTCAATCTATAACTGCTCTTATTCGTTCATGTATGACGTGTTATTCCGAAAACGAGGCAATTTTTGCGCCAAACATCTACTTAATTTTCTCCTTATGTTTCTACACCACAAATGGTGCTTAACAATTGTTTTTTGGTAATTGTCGCACTACTCTTCGTGTTTTTTCCGTTTGTCACTACCGTGACGTTGGAGTATATAAAAGTGCCAGACATTTTTTATTTTGCAAATATGTAATACCGTCGTTGTTAATATCGTAAAAACGCAAACGGAGCCACTTAAAACGGCGTTAAGTCATTCGTGAAAGGTGGAAACAAAAGAAAAACGCGCGACATAGTTGCTTGACATTAAAAAGATAACAATTTTATGCACATTAAGCTGCTTATAAATGGTCGTGTTCGTCAACGTAGGCCGTAGCGGCGCATGTTCGAGAGCGCGGTTGAGTCAGACCGCGGGCAACAAGGTCGGGGCAACTGGGTAATAATAATGCTGATAATTTAATGAGAGCCACAGTTTACACTTGATTTTCAGTTATAACAGAGTGTGGGCAAAAATAGATATTGCGTAACTCTATAAACCGTTGTTGGTTCGCAGGTTGTTTGCATTTCTTCTCGATTAGCGAGTCGCGAGTATTTTGGTGTGGTAGCTGGAGGGGTGAGGACCTACGTATTTTATTTTTGTTTGTTTTGACAAATCGTTTGGTGTTGGGTTGATCTTTCGTCTTCTTATGATTGATTAATCGTCGATGCCGTTACTGGGGACATTTGTTATGGCCCAATTTTTGATCTTTGTAATCTCGGATGGAAAGTTGGGCAACAGTTACGTATGCAGGATGAAATCCGTACAGGTGTTGGTGTACAGTCTCGGATGTGGTTTTTCAAATCATTCTGTATTTACTTTTTAATATAGATCGCTCGTTATTTGATTCTTCAAAGATTTGTTCACCTTTCTCGGACCACCTCGTCTTTTTGTCTACTACAGTTGTCTTAGGAATCTCATGAACGACTGGCCATATAGGTTTCAATAATTACAGTTCAGAAGGGTTAGAAAAATGAAGATGCGGTTATTTTAGGAAAGTAACTTTTTCTCATGCTCAAAGATTCAAGCAAGGTGCATACATTATGGCGATCTCATTGTGACCGTTTCAAATAAATATGTATGTATTCTCTCCTACCTATTGATATTTAAATCCCACATAAACGTAGATATTTCTGAAAGCAGAAATATTCGGAAAGGGAAAGGGTTCGATTGGATTTTCCCCTTCTATTGTTGCATAATCATAATCTTGACCGGTCCGGCCGTGGTCCATCTGTCGTCTTTATAACCCTTTCTCGATCGTGTCCTTGAGATGATTCGCCAGTGGTTTAGATCGGGTGCGACGTTGTCAACTTTATCCGCTCTTGTCGCTATTTATTTTATTGTATTACGGTTGTTGTTGCATTATTTTTTTATGGTTTCGTGGCAGAATGAAATTAATTTCCGAAAAAGGCCTACCTTAATTTAAATGTTTCAATCGAATGTACCGCTAGTACAATTTTTTATTGCGCACCTTTGTATATAAAAATTTATCAAGTAATTTAATTACGCAGCACTCGCTTTGAGTCGGTCTCACTAGGAATGTGCATCGGGTTAATTAGTTGAATGGAATTGATTATATGTATTTCGGATTGATTGCGTGATGCCAAACGAATATTCATTATTTTAGCTGATTGCTTTTTTGACGTTCTAATTTAAACGTTTAAATATATCAAGCTTTTTGGTGACAAGCCCGACATGAAACGCTTTTTTTCAACACTTTTTTGATATTGTAATTTAAATGTATTTTCCGTGTTTTACATGGTAAATATTTATTTTCGAATTTACAAGATTAGGGATTTTATTCAGTAAAATAGAGTTCGTCTCCGTTGAACCGGAACTTGTTTGCCAAATGAAGGCCGTCATTCGAAGTCCTTCGGGTTTGTTACGCTGAGTGCAAATGTAATTGTCAATTCTATGCACATTCATGGACGGGGACTGTTTGTGCGTAGGGCGCAGTTTTTCAGTATATCATTGTAATACTAGAGATATTATTCCTTACGGCAGTTATCATTTATATCCATATCGCTTTTAGTAATTTTGCTTTCTTTACTTCCTTTTTGCATTTCGAATCCGTAAATAAACGTTTGTTTGTTTTCCAAACTGTCTTTTTGTTATTTTAACGATTTTCTTTTTGAAGCGTTTGATAGATATTTTAGAAATTTTCTCCTAAAGGAAATGCATATTAGCAAATTAACGCAAATGATGATAACACCTAATTACGTATGAACGGAGAAGATTAAGGGGGCTTTGCCAGGTTCTCCCCCTGTTAGCCACTGTTATACATTATTAAATAATTCGAGATGGTTCGGTTTTACGCTGCGTTGCTTCAGTGGGCGGTCATTTCCTATTAAATTTTATTTGCTTCTTCGTGCGTTAGTTGCGCTAAACTGATGTGTCGTCGTTCAAAACCAAATAAAAAGATGACCGTGTAACCCACGCGTCCTGCGTCCTCCACGAAGCTAAACAAAAATTCGTTACTAAGATTAATGGTCCTAACCGCTAGTAAAACCCCCGGAGGCGGCAACGTCGCGCGCCGCAGCTTCGGATCTGTAGAGCCGCGCGAATTTGCGTCGCGAGTGTGAGAGGGAGAGAGAGAGAAAGAGAGAGGAACCATACGTATGCGCGTGCGAGTGAGAGCATCGAAAGAGAGTAGAGGTGGATCTAATTGTTGCTTTTGCTTTTGCAGACAGAAGACGACTAGCCGTGCGTCAGCAGCAACAACAATCTGACAGAGCAGTAGCAACCAGGAATCGTAACATGCGCTAGAACCACCATTTTGTCCGTAAAAAGTTCGACAATCGCTTCGCTTTTTTGCATACCCGCTTGTGCGATTTTGTAGAAAAGTTCAACAAAAATATCGAAACGAAACAAAATCCGCGTCGCCGTCGTCGTCGTCGTCAGCCCGTCTAGTCCGTTGCTTTTTTTAAGAGAAGAACAGTAATTGTGTTGTGATCGAATTTTATTTTTGTACCGTCAAAAGAAGCACCAACCCGAAAAAGTGATAGTTTAAAACACGATAACGTAGTTACTCGAAATGGACAATAATTATTATTCTACACTTTCCGAAATCTCGTAAGGTTTCTAAGTTTGTGTGTGTGTCGTCGTATCGCCGCCGCGCCGCCTACACCACGTTGCCGCGCCACGTCCAGAGTGATTATTCGCGTCCACTTTTACAACGTTGTTGTTCTCTTCTAAAAACGGCAAGTGCTATTTTCGGAGTATTTACATTAACGACAATTTACCAAACCGAAACAAACAAAAAAAAAAAAAATAAAAAAAATCACGAACGAAACCACAATGGCAATGGTCAACTTGTTGAACGGAAAGGATTCGCGCTGGCTCCAGCTGGAGGTGTGCAGGGAGTTCCAGAGGAACAAGTGTTCCAGACCGGACACCGAATGCAAGTTCGCGCATCCCCCAGCCAACGTGGAAGTGCAAAATGGCCGCGTGACCGCGTGCTACGACAGTATCAAGGTGAGTTTTTGTTTATTTTTTTATTTTTCTCTTGCGACGTCGCTAAGCAAGTCTCACAAAATCTATCTTCTGAAACTCTTCGGCCATTGTTACCTGCGATCTGTAAAACATGGAAAAGTTGGACTATTTTGAGGACGTACTGGAAAAGGGTGCGAAGTTTTTGGATCATACGTCATTTTTGTTCGTCCTTTTCTTGCGATTACTTCAACTACGTAGTCTAATCTGTTTTGTTTGAATAATGGTTTTTCTTAAACATGAGGGTAAAAAAATGCAATTTAGGAGATAACCATTTTCAACAATCACGATTAATCTAAATTTTTAACCTTGGTGTAGAAAAATTTATTTTTCTACTCCCGTCTGTAAAATGCCTAATTACACACCGATCTAGTGTGCGGGAAGCATCACATTGTTTCCCACGGATCCGAGCCACTTCGGACATTTCCGGGATTTTACCGCACTGGTTTGGGAGTTGTCGGATGTTTTCGGAGGTATTTCCCACGCCTTGAATGTTGACGTTTGTCAGTGAATGGTATTCTTGTTGTTTTACGAAAATGTACCCAAAAACTAACGGTCGTAGAAAAAGTATAGTGTGCAACACATTCGGTAAACTGTTTAAGTCACTCGTTTATTAAACGCTTACGTTTATTACCGCACTTGTTGCATAATATACTATATTTAAGACATCAGGACAAACCTGGAAAGGCCTCAGATAGCCTCATATTTACTTATTCATACACGATTTGTAAATTACTATGTTGCTAACGATAGAAACGTGTTTTTTGAGACAGATCGAAACCTAACTATACGGCAGCTAGATAACAATGTTCATTTGTTTTCAAATGAATGAAGATTTAGAGGCATTAGTTTTTCCATGACCTTTCTCTTCGAAATGTTGTCCGACATTCGAAATGGAGGTGCTACCACCAAACCTATCTGCCATTATGCCCGAATAAGCGTGTAAAATTTCACAGAGTGTAATCATAAAATGATTTCAATTGGATATTTGATATTGAGGTCATGGTAGAAATTGTGTGAGATGAATTTTAAAGAAGTGCACGCGAGCCAAGTTTGCTTATTTGGTTGTTGGTAAGTAACGATGCTTCTCACCGTTTCCTTTCATTTGTATTTCATTTTCATTATTGTATTGTAAAAAATGCAAACTTGCTTGAAACGAATTGTATTAAAGCAAAAATGCATCAGGAAAAGAAAAATAAGGTTGTGTTCACTCAATTCAGTTATTGCGTTATTCACAACATGTCTTAATAATTCAACCTCAACTTTTTTGCGTTTTACTCATGAATTTTAGGCTTGTGAGGGAATTCAATTAAGGATATGTCAGGGCTCCCAAACGATATTGATCGTAGCGTAAAGTGGTATTCCCACAGTTAATGTATGTTAATAGCAATGAAACAATAATAACTAGATGTCAAGCGGGACGAAATTTTCGAAGAAATATAACACGATTCCGTCAAGTCTGTGTTTCTTTGGAATTACGTGCAATGAGAGTAAAGCCGTCAGGGTTCGAAGGTAATCTGACTGGATTTTTTTTTTAATTTGCATTCCCGTGCAAGCAAACAAATTTGTGATTATAAAATCGGTTCGGGCTTTATCCGTGACCTCGGCGAACCTCCAAGGCTATCAAATTCAAGCGACATTTTAATTGCTTTGTTTTCGCGACCGTCAGTTTTCGGCAGGGCCGTTTCCCAAAACGACGTGAACTTTACGCCCGAGATAAAATATCTGCACCCAGCAGCGGTTCGTCAAACGGGAAAAATGACGATTTTAGCCCGCCCAGTAACGCAATCATTAACTCGCTTCGAATCTGAAGATCATCGCGCTGCGTTAAAAGGTCCCCTTCTAAATAAATTCGCCTTAACTTTCACAATCGCGAAATCTAGGTAAGCGAATTGCTGCTAGCACCAATCGTGTGACGGCATTCGCATTTATTCTAGGAACCAACGAGCAATTGAGATCCTTATGTTTTATCTAGCGAAGTCATCATGGCAATGCAAACTTACCGTTCCCTAGAGTTCCTAAGCCAGTATATATGTCTTGTTTGCTCCAACAGATATTTTGCTCCTGATTTTATCTTGCATTATTGTTGGACCAAAGCATAATTTATTTATTTATTTAATTATAGTACCACTTGGAAATGGAGGAAGTAACATGCACTAAAATTGTCGAGCAAAAAATAAATTACATTACAAGACGTAAAAAGTTATAATACCAGATAATATTTTTTAATTTCATCCTAACTACAACCTATAATAAATCCCGTCTATGCTGCTGATTGTTAGCAAATAAACTGCAAACGGGAGAATGTCATTGTAATGTATCTGAAAATGTTAGGTTCAAATGTGTCTAGTCTATCTGACGCATGGTACCCCGGCTGCTAAATTAGAGAGGCATGCCTATTCCTATTTTGATTTAACACACGCATTGTGCAAATGCACGATAGAAAAACTAGAGGCTAAACCTAGCCGTACGAAGATTTGATAATGCTGGTTAATCATCTGTTTCCCATCACACCCCGACGAGAGAGGATTTCGGGTTCTTGAATTGATACTATAAAAATAAAAAATGGTAACAAGAACTTCTTGCATAGAATATCGTGGAAATACGAAAATATATGGAAAATATGTGTGAATTTTGCCAAGTGGTTACCAGTACTGATACGGTTTAAAATATAAGCTCCTCAACCCGTATTATTTTTTTCGGGAGGGAAGGCGAAATTAACTGAGCCCGTGTGTTCTAAAATTAAACCGGGGTCTGCTCTACAATCAACTCGAGCCACGCAATAACAAACAATGAACGACTTCCCCGTTCTTAAACTAAACGACGTTGGGATTTAATATACACGACGGAGAGATGAGTTATATCATCGTAAATACACGCCAAGCGAGCCAGTAACGTGTATGCTAATTACTAACGGCATAAAACGAGTGGGCGCCGCACTCGCGGCACACGAAGTGTATTTCGATTTGACGTTATTTAAACAATTGAGTCGCGTCGAAGTAGTCTTTTTTTCTCAACTTAACGGAGGAGGCGACCGATTCGACTGAGGATATTGACGACGCACCTGTCTTTGAATTCGAAGTGTTTGAAGAAGGAGGCATGTAAAGCAAAACTAATTTTTCAAAGAAACTTCCAGATGTTACTGTAATATGTGTATAAATTCTGTTGTCTTCTTCCGTTCTTCAGTTTCAATTAAGCTTTGGAGAAGCCAACAGGATGATTGGCGAACCGTCAACGAGTTCTATTTATCTACAACGCAGAAGGAATCCAGAAGATTTGAAAATAGTAAATCGAGAATAGTATACTACTTTCAATAGAATATTCCCTTTCTTAAAGCTGCTGCAGGGAATATTTTGACTCAGCAGAGAAATTTAAAGAGAAACTGGTTCTAGTTGTACTCAACTATTCCCTACTAGTGGTTTAAAGTGGGAGGCGGGTTTAGATAAAGAGACCATTTTCAACAAGAGGGGCCGAAAGCAGAGTGGTACAAAAAGAGCGGTTCACTCCTATGCTCAACATGCAACGCTTATCTAGCAACGGTACAGAAACAACCACTCCTAATGGTTATAAGCAAGTTATAAACCATCATTCGATTAGAAAAATAGTTGATAGATTGATAAATAGAAGTGTACGTTTGGTAGGCAGAACTAATTAAGTTATTAATATTTTTGTGGGAAAGTAGCTGGATAAACAAGCAAATCATTTCGTCTTCCTGTCTTTTACAAGTTTCCTTTTCAAAAGTTTCTAATGCTGAGAAGAATGGAATTGAACTTGCACTTGTACTAAGAAAACCTTGCATCCTCAAAAATCTTATGATGTTTGAATAAAACAAGATTTGTTTCAAAAATTATAAATTGCTCACTGCGGTTTTTGGCATACAAGGTAACTATTTCATCGGCGGTAAACGGACGTTTATCCACCACTGAATAAAGTTGGTAGATGCTTTATTCGAGTAAACACTGGACAGAAAGCAAATTCAAGTTCATTGTGGTTCTTTAACTTTCCGATAAAGAGGCTGTTTTTAAGTTTTATACATGCAATGTAGGTGAGTATTTTACATTAACAAACAATACCATAGTGATCAGAAAAAAAATTGTAATTGGTTTCTGTTTAAGTTCATCACAAAAACTTTAAGTAAGGAAGGAGACATGCCAGAAGCATCTCCGGTAAAAGGAGAGATAATGCCAGAGTATAAATAACCGTCACTGAAAAGCATACGAGAGATGGAAATTGAGGTAAAAGTTTTCGTATAGAAGATCGAATAGAAATTTTCGAGATTGCTGAGCGGACGCCGCGTTGCGGAAAAACAATGACATCGATCTCCATAAAACACCAAGACGACCCTCTGGCAAAGTGCACGTCCACGGATAAAGGCAAACGCAACCCTCGCTTTAATTAACCTTTGATCTTCTCTAAACAAACCTTTTCCCACACGCCAGCACGCCTGGGTCGAAGCGGCGGCGATTTTTCTTCTTGCTCGTTTTTTTTTATATAACAAGGAATAAAGCCGTAGATCAGATTTAATGCCATCGGGGAAAAGCCGGCAACGGGGCGCTCTCGTGCTCTTGGGGTGTGACGTATGTCGCGGCCATCGTCTGCTAGGTTCACTTTCGGCCCGATAATAAATTCAATGCGCCGGTTCGTTGAGCTGATATATTTGCCAATTAATTCTTGGCCTTGGCTTTAAGAGGGAACGCGAGCGCTGGTTCGATTGTTGGTCGTCTCTCGTTCGCGCACCGCCTTTCACCTTTTCCATCCCATTCGGGGCGATCGCCTCTTGGCGGAATGCCGGCGCTGGTATAATGTCCGGCGCCGAAAAATTTCGTCGGTTTGAAAATATTGAACGACAACATAAATGCTGGCGGTCGCGAAGATATTCGGAGTTTCCTCCGGTCAAGTTTTTAATCTTTACTTACAGCTTGATGAAGGATTTGTTTATTTATCAAACATATGTTATTTTAAGCTAGTAAAACAGTGGGTTGGTT